TATTTTTATTCATTTATTAGTATCTATACTAGTTTCAAAAATAATTTTGAACTTTTAAAGGCAATTATAACATGATGGTCAAACCCGAGTCAATTAAATCATGACCCGACCCGACCCGTTCGAGTCAACCCGCGGGTTGACTCGGGTTGACCCGACTCGTTTCGGAGCTCTACCTATTACTGTAATTCACAGATTATCAGATCGTAACAGGATCTTGGATTATTATAAATGAGGTAACATCCAGAATTTTTACCCTTTAAGCATAAAGTATAAGACATGTGACCAAAAAAATATTCAATGTATTTTTATCTAAAGAACTAAAAAAATCATATTAATACAGTCGTTTGATCACTAATTCTTAATAAACATATATCTGAATTTAAATATTATTATTATTTCCAAAAACATTTATTTGAAAAAATAAATAGTATTAGTATTAGAAAATTTACCTATGGAAAAGGATACAAAACTTTATATATATATCAATTATGATTAGCCCTTGCCTATTTTTCTATTTTACAATTTTTTGCTTTACCCATAATTTCATGGATCAAATCATATCATATAACAAACAGGAATTTTTGTTACTGACCTATCTATGAAGTTTGCAGGTCCTAATGTAACAATCATTAATAGGGGGTCGATAATAGGGTATATCTATTAGTAGTCAACGATTTATTAGGGGACCAAAAATTTCGTATATATAATAATAACAATTTTTTTTTCAAAAATATTATAATCAGTTAAATCAATTAATTGGTAAAATTTAATTTCATTAAAGTCGACATCTTAAAAATTTTTAATATTTGGGTCAAATTGTGTTCTTTTTTCTAATGTTATTGTAAACCTTAGGGTCAAGTTATATAATTTTGGTCTGGGTCAAATCATTTAACAGGAATTTTTGTTACTAACCTATATATGAAGTTTGCGGGGTCTTGTTGCATCTCTTGGACCATTGACAATTAAAGGCATAGTAATATGTGGTCCTAAAATCAGTTTTCCATTCGGATATAGATTTATTATTATATTACGTGATATTATTATTATTTTTGATGCATCTAATAGCTCTTGTATGACCTCGAAGGATGTGTGTGCAGATGCCATTTAAAATATTCCGTACTCGAATAGTTCTATCAGCAGATGCTATATTTCCGAAAAATTGTATCGCGCACACAGTATCATCATGTCCTTTGAGGTTGAAAATCAATTTCCCAGTTTCAATAATATCTATATAAAAGGTTTTCTCAGAACCAATCTCGAAACAATTTACGGCTTTCATAACTTATCTATTGTGAGCTTTAAATGATAATTGTTCAAATGTTCAGATTTCCAATTTTTACAAATAATATAATGTTGGTAATAAATTTTTTGTGGGGATTATCATCATCTTATTAACGATTGATCCTTGTTATCAGTATAAAATCCATCGAATAATAATAATTTTTTCCATATTGACGAATTTCTATTGATGAATATCGCTCATTTCTTACATACTCTTAATGCTCTACAGATGCTCATTGGATTCAAGAGCTCCACTATTTGTAAATTCAACTCGATGGTGAGTTTTTCAATGAGATTATATCTTTCTGTTCTAAAATCTGCATGTCTTTGAAGAATCTATAGATACATGTTTTGTTTTGTAAGTAAAATCTTCATTATTTACATTAATGAATTATAGATTATATAACACTAACAGTATGTCACTTGTTTGTTTCTGAAGACTCATTTGATTTTTCTTTAATTTAAGGTAATTTTCTCTTAAACAACTAGAGTGACGACAACTGGCGATAATCGTCATTCTTTTTAATGAATAACAACACTTACCCATGTTATACTTTTTCTTTTTCTTGGTTTCGTTTTTTTTTTTTTCTTTGGGAGCCATTTTTATTTAAGATGTGTTTAAAAAAAACCAATTTATGACAAAACGTGAATGTTGTTGTTTGGTATGGCGTGGCTCTGAAGACATATTAATAACCAACCAGGGGTAATATATATGTTTTTTTAGTTATTATAAATATTATAATGGAATCAAAACATGGAGTAGAACTTGCTGGGTAATTATAAGGTTCTTGATGATGAACGATTATTATTGTTTTTGCTCTTCGTAATCAATAATAATATTATAAATATATTAATTACAGCACACCGTTGAAAAAGAAACATTTCGATATGCGACGTTTGATTATAAATATCAAAGATGTTGTTAGTTGATGATCTTTCAAATCTCGGATCAAATTCATTTCCTAACGTCAAATTGTTACTATATTTCTGTTGCTCTTTTAAATGAAGGCTCTTTAGTAAGTGAGACCATTTTCTCGTTATTGATAGCAGTCTTCCCGATAATGGAAAAAGTATCTCCTATTCATGATTTTATTTTTTGGATCATTAAAAAAATAATCTTTGAAGAAGTAGGTAGGTGTATTCAATAAGTCAATAACACCAACTACTACACCTTGAAAACAATAGCTATTATTACTCAAACCACTAGATTATTTTAAGTCTTTGGAGTATCATTATTATTGTTACGAGCAGACATATGATTTTTATATATATAGTAATAGTAATAGAGGTAGTTTTATGTAACAGCTAAATTTCGTCAACTGAAAGGCAATAAATGGAAAGAAGCTGAGAACAACAACTTAGTGAAAGTAACGTGTTGTTTTATGTAACATTTGTTATATGAATTTTGTAGAAAATCTTTTAAAAAGAGAACATAGGAGAGTAAAAACCACAGATGCGGAAGGGGAAGAGGAAGAGGTAAGTGAAAAGGTCCTATATACGATTTTGATGAAATATGAAGATTGCTCCAAGAAATAGAACCAAGCTTGAAGGGGTTTTTTGTCCAACTCTATTTAACAGCTCGACCATTTGAATGTAATGAACAAATAATGGACCATATGAAGAGATTAATGGTGGTGTTCATGTGTTATCTTCTTGTTTTATTAAATAATGCAAAAATTAACTCTTTTAATTTCGACCTTGCATTCTATTTAGACTTGGTAGATACAAGTCTTGGAGCAACTACAACATCAGGAGCAGTAGATCGTAAAAAGAAGCAAGTTGCAGATGAACATGAGAAATATGTATAGAATGCACTTACAAAAAGCACATTCATGTTGAATGTTGACGATTATCATAGATTCATGTCCAGAGACAATCTGATACTATCAGCATATCAGGCACAAAATCAGTATCCTTTAATTATTAAAACTTTGTTATTCCTAGAAAACCATCCACAAACATTTTTTGCAATTACGTATATTGTGATTCACTAATTATACTAATTTGAATAATTGTAGTGTACTCACGTTATCACAATCATTGTCTACAAATGTGTCAATCTAATTTTTGATATCTTGGACTTATCTTCAAGTCGAAATCAAAAAAAATGTCAAATACTAAAAGAAAGTATAACGAAAATATTAAATGAAAATCAATTTATCGAAAATAACGAAAATACAGTTGATGATGATTCGGGTAATCTTGAATCAGCAGCAGAAACAATGGAAATTTTATTAGAACATGCAAAAAAAATTTTTTGGGTTGTAAATTTTTATTTTTATTAAATAAATTTGCTTGATTTTTCATACATTGTTCATTTTTCGTCTCAATCACGTATCTTAAATTAGTTGTGTTTACAATCATTTCATCGACACTCATTATATTAAGGTTATTTTGATTATATCGAGGGATATGGTCAAGAGAAGAGTTAGGAAGAGAGTTATTCTTCAAAAACCAACCCTTTAAATACATTTTCGAGTAGTACAATTTAATTTATTAGACTATTTCAATGGTTACTTCCAACTTCTTAAATTCGTTAACGAAACAATTGTTGGTGAAGTGATTGTTGACAAAATGAATCAAACCCATATTTATTTCTACGTTATCAAATTCACAATTTTAATTGGTCAATCAACAAATTGCATGGGTTAAAAATTTGTGTTCCCTCCTGTTAATTTTGTGTTACCACTCGAGAAAAAAACCACTAATAACTAATGTTCACTTTAAAAACAATTATTGGTCCAGAGTTATTTATTACATATTTACTTTTAAAATTTTCAAGTTTAGAAAACAAATGATCCACAACCAGTAATTTTTTTTAAAATTATCTCGATAAACTAGTGCCAAAAGCTATGAGTATTAGTGTTATTATCTATTATCACACTTAATGCGCTTATTTTTAATACAAATAAAACTTTTTACCAAGAAACAAGCAAATATAGGTTATGAATCGCTTTATCTGGTAATTGTAATTGTAGAGATAGAATTTGAAAAAAATCTTCATATTAATATAGTTAACATGTGTAATTATAATAATAATAACGTAAAAATCCATTGAGTGTAGCAAATGAAATTATGTGATTTAAAATTATGTAAATGGCCAACTAGTTAGCTTAAATGTGGAGTTGTTTACCAGAATTTTTTCCGATATCATCATTTATTGTCGCTCAGATTGATTCAAAAAGCAAGTTTGAGAATAACGTGTCTGTAAAAGAGAAATCCAATTGTTTCAGTCTGCTTGCGTGAGTGTGTTGTGATAAAATAAATGTATTAATGAAATTAATGAGATTTGAATCCATAGTTAATAAATTAGAAGGGGTGCAAATAAATTCAAAGAACTTTTTTTACCGTTACACGAATGTGATTATTGTTATGTTCCAAATTCTTTCTCAAATTCTTTTTGCATTCATTTTTATTATGAAAACAAAGAGGCAAGGCAAAAGATGATCATCACCTGACGAAACCAAACGAATCAAAAATCGGAATCCTTATTGTGGTATTTGAATTCCGTCATAAATAACCCAATTTCTTCTTTATGATGATCAAACCCAACGAGGAGACGAATAATGTGAATTTTCCCAAGAAAAATTTAGTACAATGTAACTCCTTAACTTTTTTTGGTTTGGCTTTAAAACAATTTATATGGCTCATTATAATCTGATCGGAAATAATAAACATAGTTTAGTATTAGTATTGGTATACAAATCAATTGGTATATATATATATATATATCATGCAATGTTGTTTTCAAATTTTCTAAAAAAAAAAAATATGGAAGCCAACATTACGAAAACACATCTTAATCAATTAATTCCTCCGATTAATAATAACAATGTTACTACCACCATCAACAACTCCTCCAATGACGAACCACCTTCACCAAATATTTTTGCACGTGACATGGAATGGTTACTTGAATCAAGTAATAATCATAATATAGTGATACATGTTGGAAGAGACATGTTTGAACGTAAGACTTTTAAAGCTCACTCAAACATTTTGAGTGCAAGGTCATTATATTATAGATCAGTATTATCAAGTAGTCACCTTGTTAGTTTACGTGATAATAATATTAATAGTAATAAATCTATCACCAATAATAATGGTAGTAGTAGTAATAGTGATTTAAATACTAAATATATTGAATGGTATCAAACAAATGTTTCACCAAATGCTTTTGAAGCCATGTTAAAGTAAGTGTGTATATATATATTTTTTTTTTATTTTTTTTTGTTAATTACTATTTTCATTCAATTATTTCAAAAAAAAAAATTATATATATATATATAGATACATATATACAGGAGTATTGACTATTAGTAAGAATACAGGAACATTAGAAGTAATTGATTATTTACTGGCAGCAGATGCATTATGGCTTAATTATCTGATAGAACATTTACAAATTTATTTGATAGAGCATAGAAAAGATTGGATCAAAGATAATTTCACTATAATTTTTCAACTAATTCATTCAAATCCAACAACATTCAAGAAACTACAAAATTATTCATATCAGGAATTATATAATAGTCCACAATTAATCTTTGATTCGCCTAAATTTGTCACGCTGGATGAACGATTAATTTTGTTATTGTTGAATGATGATAATTTGGTGATTGATCAACTTAAATTATGGAAAAAATTATTAGAATGGGGAGTTCATCAAAATAATAATATTAATCATGATGCTGTTGGTGTAATTAGTAATAACGTTAATGATAAACTTAAATTGGATTTGTCAAAAGATGATTTCTTGGCATTAAAAAAAAGATTAGAGAATTTGATTCCATTAATTAAATTTAACAAAATAAAATATGAAGATTTTCAGAATAATGTCATGCCTTACAAATTCTTATTTCAGTAAGTATTTGAAAATTTTAAAAAATATTTCATTTTATACATGTTAATTTTAACAATTATTTTTTAATTATATTTTTAGATTGGAGATTTATAATGATATCGAAAACTATTATCATCATATTTTAAAGAACGTTTCTTCCATCAACAACTACGAAGATGATCTTTCTCTGAATAGAAGTAAATTATTACATCTTTCAAAATTAAGTTTATCAAAACGTAACAAAAAATCTCTCTCTATTACAACAAATGGCACAAATATCAAACCATCTTCTTCTAATAGTAGTTCATTAGAAATTTCACCAAATTTATTGTCGTTGATATTTGAAAAATCTGGAAAAACAATTATCAATATAGATACTTACAAAAATACTGATGCTGATGATATTGTTAACACAAATATAGATAATAATAATAACCAGAATAATCAAAATAATCATACGAATTCTTCATCTACTTCTCCTCCCTTGCGATCTCCCTTTCCTTTAGAACATTTTCCAATGCCTCCTCCAATTTCATTCCAACAATTACATCAACAAAGTCACGATCCAATTAATATTAATCAACAACAACAACAACAACAAAATATTCAAGATAAACATAATCCTCCATTACCAATCTCAAAAAATAGAAAATCACAAAAATCATTTGAAATTGACATTAATGATTATTATTACGATAATGATAATGATGATAAAATTTCAATATTTTTCAATTCATCGTCAGCGTCATCATCTTCAAATAAATCACTTCCTATTATTAGAACTAATCAAAATAATAATCAAAATAATAATCAAAATAACAATCAAAATAATGCCAAGACTTTTGCCACATTATTCAATAATTCTATACAAAGATTTACAAAAAGTGATGATGTAAAATTAAAATCTTCAAAAGCAAGAATATATCAATCCGCTATATCAATTTCGCCGCCAATTTCTGTTTCTTCCACAGTAAATTTCCATAACATGAAGTTAATATCAACTTCAAATACTCTTGATCAATCACATCCATTATCACCGTCTTCGCCACCTCTCTCACCTCCAATAATACTCCCACCTCTTCAATCAATACCAAAACACAAACCTCCAGATCAACAAACCTCTCCAAACCAACAAAACTTTTCTAATAATAATAATAATAATAATATACCTAATGATCATAACCTTCAACCGTCTTTTTCGAATAATAATAATAGTAATAGTAGTAAACCTAATTCTCCCTCCTCTCCACCATTCGCTACTAATAATAAAGAAACCAATTCTCTTTTGCCAGAATTACCAATTAATAATAATGATAATAGTAGTAAACCCAACTCTCCTCAAACGCCAACGCCATCTTCATATCCAACGCCAACGCCAACGCCGCTAACACCAACGACACCATCACCACTACAACAACATACATTATTTGAAACTAATAGTAGTAGTATACCTCATTCACCACAATCACAGCAATTATCTTTTAATGATAGTATTAGTAGACCTAATCCACCACAATTACCGCCATTCTTTTCTATTGATAGTAGTATGCCAAATTCGCCATCTCCGCCATCTCCGACATCTCCGACATCTCCGCCACCATTTCCTTCTTCATTATTTACTAAACCCAATTCACCAACTTCAACTAACAAGAATCCGCAGTCTCCTTTACCATTATCTCTTAACAGATCAATCTCACCTCCACCTACTCCCTCATTGATGTCAGCACAAAATCAAATATACAATCACTCAAATTCAAAAATAGAAATCAAAGTTCATCAAGAACTATTGTCTTCATCATCAAAAATAACAACAAAAACAGAACACAAATATAAATATCCAAGATCTATAATAATTGATTATAAGCATTTAACTTTAGTTTCTGATTGGATAGATCATAGAGATTTGAGTGATAATGATGGTAATGGTAACAATACTAGTAATACTAATAATAATAGTAATAATGGTAGCAGTAGTAATGGTATTAATCATGAAAATATTGCTTACGAATTATACCGATGCTCTTATAAATTTAAATTGTTGATGCGAGCTACTAGTCATGGATTTAGCGATAAAAAGTTTCACAAACGATGTGATGAAGTTGGTCCGACTGTCACATTTATCAAATTGAAAGGTGTTAGTGGATTAATTGGTGGATATAATCCATTGAATTGGAAATCTAACCGGCTTAGAAATTTTGAAAATTGCCCCGACAGTTTCATATTCTCGTTACCATCAATAATCATTAATAATAATGATGATAACAGTAGTGTTGGTGGTGGTGATGCAGTAGCGGTAGAAAACCATCACAACAATAATGATAACAATAATCCTAATTATAAAATTACATCGCCAATAATAAGTAGAGTAACGTTAGCAAAATATGCAATAAATAATCATATTTCTAATGGCCCATCGTTTGGTACAACTGATATAATAATCAAAAATAATTTGTGCAGATGTTTAATGGAATGTTACACCTATGGAGTTTTACCGGATGAATTGATTAAGAATAAACTTGATTTTGAAATTGAGGAATATGAAGTTTATTTAATAAAGAATAAAATCTAGAGATATTTATTATTATTAGAAAAGGTTTAAATTTCATTATTTTTTACAAAAAAATTCAAATTCAAAATATCTTATGATTTTATTTCAGTGTTTGCTGGTGTGATGGTTGTGGTGGCAGAAGTATTAGTGTTAGTTGAAGTTGAAGAACTTGAATTTGATTCGGTGCAATTATACAGGTCTTCCAATTCATTAATACAGTTTTCTGGTGTTGTTTCATTTTTTATTAAGCAATTCTCATACGCGATAATAACTTTATTGCACTTTTGTTTTAATGATTTAAGCTCCGGTATACTATATATCAGAGGATTAGTTGTGGTGATAAACGACGTGATAACGAATTGTGGTGACAAGTGATAATAGTTGTAATAATAGTCATTCATTATTAATATTAATTATTAATTATTAAATAAATACCTTTCTTCCGAACATTTATTCAATTCTTTCCTTTGCTGATCACAAATCGAATTCCAATTATTTGGATGATTTTCGACGCATCTTTGATATTTTTCAAGTTGTTGGCCACAATGAGTTAATACTTGAACAAGTGTTGAATTCATAATATATATTTTTGATAAAGAAAATCTTGATGTCGATCAATTTGTTGAAAATCTAATTTTTTGATATTTACCAAAGTTCATTCATTCTCTAACTTATAGCATTCTTGTAACATACATTCCATTTTAATTGGGCATTGCTTTTTACAAGTGGCTGTCATACTTGGAGTTTGGATCCAAATATCCATTGCTTATTAAATTTCATAGGTGTCTGTCTGCTAGTAAAAAGTATAAGCAGATATCTTGACATCTGGTTAAATTTAATAATAAAACAGATAATGGATCCAAACACTAGCCATACTTGAATGATTTATTTTTGCCACTTATTCTGTAATTTTTTAATTATTTAATATTCTCCATATAAATAGAGTAGTTAATCAATCTGAAAGCATAAATTCAATAGAGGCTAATTCTTTCTTTCAATTTTTATTACAAAGAGTTATATAATGTGTTAATAGTTTGGTGAACTGCTAGGAATAGCCTTTTGTTCATATTAAATTTTTATAACTTTTTGAATATATTTATAAAAATATTTTTATACTATAATATATAAAACATTTATAGCAATTACATTTTCAAAAAAAGGCTAAAACAATTTTATTAGGTCCTTACATGCTTTGATGCATTTAAAGGAAACTTTGGCATACATTTTTTAAAATCATTAAAATCTTCAAAGGGTTTAACATAGAGATTGGACCCAGGTTGGGTCCAACCGGGTCATGAAAATTACCACCTGGGTGGGACGTCTGATTTATAATTTAATTTTTTTTACATTTCATATGTATTATCAACATTTTTAATACAGATTATCCAATATCTTATAAATAATGATTTTATCAACAATATTGTTAGAGTTGTCTTGTTACATATTAATATACAGTGTGTTGCGAAAAAAATTGCGCATAAATAAAAACATATATCTCAACAATCACGCATTGAAATTAGATAAAAATAGATTCATTTGAAAGCCCATTATTTATTTTATTAGATGCAAAAAAAATTAATAGGAAATTCTATCCATTTTTTTGTAATATTAATTCACAACAATTTTTCATAGATTTAATTAAATTTTGTACAGTTTCTTGGGGGATTTTATCCCATTCTTCAACCATAAATTGTTTCAACTCACTAGTATTTCCTGGCATTCTTCTTTCTACATTATTTTTTACGATCTGCCACATATTTTCAATGGGATTCAGATCAGGACTGTTGGATGGCCAGTCTAAAACATGAATATTATTTTGGGATAAAAAGTTTTTTGCAACACGCGAAGTGTGCTTAGGATCATTATCTTGCTGCAAATGCCAGTTTCTACCATACAGCTGTTGAGCAGCAGGAAGAAGCTGGTTTTGAAAATATTCACATAAAAAGGATCATCCATTATTTCTGTAAAGCAAAACAAGGGGGTTTTGCCATTCAATGAAATTCCACCCCAAGCCATTACCTTTTGTCATGATTTTGGTAATCTTCTAACTGGTCTTTCTCCATTTTTATACCATCTTGAAATTTTATTGCGAAATAAATCGAAGGCAGTCTCGTCTGTAAAAATGGTATAATCCCAGTCATCATTCAAATGAGTTTGTGCCCATGTTTTTCGAGCATCAATATGACTAATGGTAAGCATTGGGGTGGAAAGTGGTATGGCACTATTATACCCTTTTTTGCCATGTGTCACCAGATATTAGTATGTGAAATAGATATATTATGTGTATCTTGAATTCGAACTGCAAGTTGGCGTGTTTTAATGCAGAGTTATGGTGAACTAATTGCCCGATTGGCCGCGAAACTGTTTGTGTAACCTTATAACGGCGACCATTACGCCAATATGTTTAATAGTACCTTTTTCTTTGAGTTTTTTGATATTGTACTGAATGGTACGAAGGGAGATCTTTGTTTTTTCATGTATTTCTTTGGCAGTACAAATTCCATTTAGCCAGCAATGTAGAATTGTTTGACGTTGCGCCTCAAGTTCTTTATTGACCATGTTTGCAACCCTGTGAGCACTTTGTAGACGTACCATGATATTGCGTTCAAGAAATTGAAGGCAAATTTTTGAAATGTGATTATCTCGAAAAATAGGCGAAGTTCAATGCTGTACTAGAACTTATACAAAACAATCTGCTTGATACACTCATGAGTGAGTAGTGTATGATGAAAAGTATGATCGGCTTGAAAAGCTTTTTGAAAAAAAAAAAATCGATATTTAACAAAATTTAAACAAACCGTATACAGTCAAACCTCGTTTTCAACGAATCTGTGGGGACACATAAGAAAATTACATCTAAAATTTATTACTATTATACCAAAATTACATATCGCGTTTCAGCGAATGGTTTTACATGCGAAGCAAAGATTTTGAAAAATTCGTTTGAAACATTTAATTATAACTCGTTGAAACGAGATTTGACCGTATAATATATATATATATCTATATGAGTTCTCAAAGTTATTTTCTTAAACCATTTCTAAACTAATTTCCAATTGGTTTTTATTACTATTACTATTACTATTAGTAATTTTACGAATAATAAATTTGAGACATTACCTATATTTAACAATATTTAACAATAAAGAATATCATTAAAACTTGTGGTTTATACTAAAAATTCACATACTGTTGAATTTTTGGCGAATGAAATCGAGCACATATTATCTATGAATAACATAGAAAAATTTACTGATCTTGTTACTGATGGTGCTGGAAACGTCAAAGTAGCAAGACAAATGATTAATCAAAAACATCCAAATATATTAAATTTAAAGATGCATTCCATAAATCTAATGACCAAATATATTATAAACTAAATGGGATATGATGTTCTTCATAACTGTTCAAAAATTATTTCATTTTTTAAGTATTGAATGAAGCAATAAAAAAATTTGAGATGTGGGAATTAAAGCATACATAAAAACACATTGGTCCTCGGCTTGGGATTGTTTATATTCTGTTAAACGATTGGAGGGTTGCTTTGTCTGGATAAAACTTTGACATTATACTACATTAAAATCACTCTTTTTTTCATGGATTATTTAGACGACCCTTCTATCATTACTAATAGAGAATAGTACGAATTAGAAATTTTTTGCTGATGTAAAAATTTTATAAGATATTCTGAAACTCGTCGTAGAGTGTCGTATTGATGCCACATTCAAAATAGAGGTTGGCACCGCGCAAAAATTCTTTAACCGGTTAATTTAGTCACGTGGAATTTTTTAACTGGTAAATTCGATCATTCATTACTTACAAAATAATCACGCATCTGTCGAATTTTATTATTATACACTTAATAGATGCTAAATGATTACAGTAACACCTCGCCACAGCGGATTCATGGTTCCGGCCAAAAAAATCCGTTATTAACACTCATAAAAATTTGCTCAAAACCCGTAACACTGCTTTTTTCCTTACTTGGGATAGATTGTATGATTTTGGTTTTGATCTACCATTTTTTTTTGTTTGCCTATTGATGCAATTTTTAATAAAATAGATAATTTCATGCTGCCCCTAAAAAAAATGTAAAAAAGGGTGCATTGATTTTGCTTTTTTACGTTGCATTCGAATTTGAGGGTTGAAGTACATAGTGCTGAAATGGTCTTCTATACATGATTCAGCTTTACACGTTACATTTGAAATGCGAGGTGTCTATATATATATTCGTTCGGAGTATCAACATTAGCCAGTCATATTTTTTTTTCGTTGCGTTGAGCAAAAAATTTATTTATTAAAAAATTACATCATATACAAAGGGAAATTGTTTACGGGCTTAATAAATTTAACAAAAGATCCTTCGCAAAGAAGAACCCTCATCCGAATTAAAAGTTATTTACGAATTTCGATTGTTAAAAAAATCAACCAAGATTTTTTTTTCCTAATTAAAAAAAGAGATATTTTTATCCTGATCTTTTCCTTGTGGATCAATTAAATTAAGTCTATCGCTGTAGAAGGAATTTGCATGATACGGCGATATAAAAATAACCACAATCACGTATCGTTTTTGGTAAACGAAAATATTTTTGTTCAAATTTCAATTTGCAAGTCAGTGCATTCAAATTGTTAAAATATAAATATTACTATTACTCTCAAAAATTCATTTAGAAAGGAACCGTACGTAACACAGCAACTTTTCTTTTATGCATGTAACCACCCACATTCATTAAAAACAAAAGTCGAATTTTATATTTTATATTTTTATATATATTATTATTATTATTATTAGTATTAGGGTGTATTCGAAATGTTTGAACGAAATTATTATCGAAACAAACCTATTTCGTCATCATGTGTGCTTTTTAGTCGACATGAAAATTAAGTTCATTCGTTATATATAATAGACAAGATTTTGTTCCCAGCTTGCCTGCCTTAACTGAGAAATTATGAAATAAATAAAATTAATAATATTTTCGTTTTGTAGATTATCACCTTGTAACGCCTTGTGTTATAAATAATTATTCACGGTACCCACAGCCACATAAGAATCTTGCTATTACTATAGTCCATTTTGTGACAAGGTTTGGATTTCTATTATGAGTACAAACTCCAGATTGACTGAAAGTTATATTAATACAGAAAATTATCAAACAACTTACTCCTTGATTATGAATACAACGAGACTTTAAATTGTGATCTAATAATAAATTATAAATGAAAATAAAATAGTCTAACAAAAGAACTTCATGCATTATTCAAAAAGGTTAATATCAAAGAAAATTAATGGTCATGTAAAAATTTTTCCGTTGTGCGATAAACATCTATAACCAAAACAACCTACCAATAAAGTATATAGGAAAGTTAATGTGAAGTTAATATTAATAGCAGTGACAAAATGATCATTTTGTTGAGTTCTACCCTGTATAAAAAATATTACGCATAAAAAATTTGCTAATGTAACTAATTTCCAGTTTCCATGTTTTTCATATTGTACTTGTATTATTCACAACAAATAACATCTTCATTTTGATATTATTACTATAGTTGTTGTAAAATTTTCATTTGACGGTTATGGGAAGGAGTTTTGTATTTATGAGTATCCTTATAAAAGGCAAAAATAATAACCCTTGTTTCAAATCGGAAATAGCAAAAGCAGCAGGTTTTATTTACAATACAATACAGAATGTTGGTGAATAATGCAAAGAAACTGGCTAAACTTGCGGATAGACTTAATCTGCACGAAAAAACTCATATTGCTTATGAGGAGCTTCTTAAACATTAGGCGTAGAATTGATAAGGATCGCTTTAAAGTTCAAAATATAATCCTTTAAAAACAACGGCTAAATGCACCCAGATAAGTTTTTCTAGTAATTTCTCGTTTTCCTTCTTTTATTCTGTTCTAGCATTCATAAAGGATAACCCAATACAATATGATCTCGACAGCGCTCGAAGTAATTTAATGTTAGAAGGATCATTTAATGACGTAATGAATTTAATTTTTTAATTAATCAACAATTCTCTTTATCGGTAGTGATTTGGGTCATTCGTTATGCGAACTATTTCATTCTAACTTTTAATTTTTCAGAACTCGCCTAATGCATGAAAAAAGTTTGCAGGTAGATATTTTTCTTGGCAAATTCAAAAAAAAATTTTTTTTTTTAATATTTCATAGAAAGTTGTCATTTTAATACATTTATAACTGTGTCAACTATCAGCATCCACAAAACCAACATCCACAATATCAACCTCAACAGTATCAACCTTGACAACATCAACCTCAACAAAACCTAGATCGATAAGATCAACCTCAAACAAATATCCCGATCAACAATATTCCCTTCAACAATATTCATCCCAACAATCTCCATTTCAACAACAAATTACCTTCGGAAATCCACAACCCAAACCACGACGATCCATTCAACTTTTTTTAATACTGATTTCATTAATATCAGAACCAATTGCACAACCTGATATTTTTCCATTTATTTTATTATTAAGAATATATTTAACCTTTTTTTTTGTAAATAAAAATACATATCTATAATCTTTAAGTATATTAGAACAAAGTATAGCAATAGTACAATTTCTATGGTATTCCACTAGCCAAATTGGAAACTATACACACAGTGAATCTCGATTTTTAGTGCCCAAGAAATTTATCCGCTAAATCAAAATATTAATATCCGTAAAAACAAGAAATATGGAATTAGCGGATTTTATTATTATTATAAACGTGATACCCGTTATATAAAAATCGTATATATTAATAACAAATAAATTTAACAATTCCAAAACTTGATTGTTGCCTGTAAAATGAAGAAAAGAAACATATAACCATATTTGGTTATATATGTAAGAACCAAAAAGAAATGATGCAAAGAATAATTAAAGAAACTCACGAGCATTTCAATAAAAGATAAACAAATGACAAATTGAAAATAAAATAAAATAACATTTATTGACCTAGGAATATCACAAATTTTAAGGAATACATAATAGAAATCACAAAAAATCATAGAAAGGCAATCAATATACAAAGAAATTTGGAATGATTGGATACTTTATAAAATATGGCAGCAGTTGGAAAGATTTTTGCGCAGGTGGAGGTGACAATACTGGCAGTTTGTCACTTTGTTCTTGATGAAGTTTAGTGGCATGCCTAAACTGAATATTATAAACAATAATCAGACTAAATGGAAGGAAAAAGTCAACCCAAACGGGTTATAATTTATTACGAGGGTAGTAAACATTGTAACATAATTACATCGTTGCATTGTTAAAAAAAAAAAAAACAAAAATAATTTGCCCAAATAAAGCAAGTAGGTTAATGTTAAAGCCCCGTGTAAAGAATATTGTGCAAAATTATTAAATTTATTTATAAACATTTTTGCTGATGTAATTAAATCTATTTTTACATACTGTATTCGTATTATTTCACAAAAAAGCTCGTTTCATTTTGTTATTATTATTGTTGTTGTTGTTATTGTAAAGTTTCACTAATGGTCATGGGAGTGAATTTACACTTATAGATAGATATCTTTATAAATAAAAGACAAAATAACAACCTTCCTCAGATTAAATAAAATCAATAAAAAATGGAAATAGCCGCAGCAAGTTTTGTTTATGGTAGGATAAAGGATTCTTCCAATGTCAAGAGTCAATACACGATGTTGTTGAGTAATGTAGACCAAATGATTAAACTTGTGGAAAAACTTAATGCGCAACAAAAAGCTCCTGCTACTTATGAGAAACTACTAAACCTTAGGCGTAGAATTGATAGGGATTGGTATGAAGTTCAAAATAATCGTTTAAAAACAATGGCTAATTGCAATCAGGTAAGTTTGTCTATATATATCTGAATTTTGTATAATGATTTCTCATTTTCTTCCCTTTCTTCTGTTCTAGCATTCAGAAAGGATAACCCAATATAAAAATGACATCGAAAATGTCCGAAATCAATTAATGTTAGAAGTATCACTTAGTAACGTAATGAATTTATTTTTTTAATTTAATCAATAATTCTCTTTATCAGTAGTGATCTTTACATGAACTATTTCATTCTAACTTTTCAATTTTTTTCAGAATTCGTCTCAAACGCACGAAAGAAGTTTGCAGGTAAATATTATTACGTTTGATTTCTTGGAAAATTAAAAAAAAAATTTTTTTTAATGGAAAATTTGTCATTTTAATATCATCCACAAAACCAAACCATCCACAATATCACCATCCACAATATCAACCTCAACAGTATCAACCTCAACCTCGACAATATCAACCTCAACAATATTCAAACCAACCCCCGCCATATCAACAACATTCCCATCAACAATATTCATCCCAACTCTATGCACCTCAACCATATTCACCTCAACAAAATAACCAATTCCAGCAGCCCATGTACCAACAACAACAAACTATTACCTTCGGAAACCCATACCCCAACAACAACGATCCATTCAACATCCCTTTTTTAAAAAGCGGGGTTACCATCACCACCCCATCATTCCTCAACAATAACCAAGGTTTATTTCAACAACCACAAATTAGATTTCACTAGTTGGTAAACGCAGAGTATAAAATTTTATACTTGCATTATTTTTTTAATACTGCTTGCCCAAAAAATTCACACTATAAAAACTATTATATATTAATGGACTTTTTGAATTCGAACTTTTTATATTAAATTTATAAACTAATGTCAGTTTGTACCTTAGTTTCTCACATATATATATATTAATTTCATAAAAATTTATCGGTTTGTAAATCTTTCCTTCTGGCAAAGAAATAAATAAACTTAATATCGAAGATCTACGTTGGAGCCGACTGCACAACATGATACCTTCCCATTTATTTTATTATTACTGTATTAAGAATATTTAGACCTTTTTTTTATCAATAAAAGAGAACAAAAAATTACATACCTATAATCTTTAAGTATATTAGAACAAGGAAAATATTATATACAATGATTTTTAGCAAATTTCTATATATTTCAGTGGACATGACTAACCAAATTGGAAACAATGCATATAATTGATGAATAAATATTAATGATCAACAAGGAATATCATTATAAAAGCCGAACCTTTTCCTCAATCGTTAAAGACAAAGAAATTTTACTCAAATAAACAGACTAAAAATGACTAGAATTGAGTTATTTCCAATAAAACGATGGATGAATTCAACCCAATATTAAGAGCCAATACAAAATGTTGACAAAACAAATAGCTAAACTTGCATATAAACTTAATCTACATCAAAAAGCTCCTATGGCTTATGAAGAGTTTCAAAGATTGATCAGAAATTCGGAATCATTTTTAAAAGGTAAAGTTTGAGTCTGCTTTAATAATTAAATCAATGAATCGGTGAAATGATTGATATATTTCATAGTGGGAAATTGATCCAAAGATTATATATATTTTTTTTTTTTGCTTTTTATGGGTTCAAAAAAAAATGATGTTCATTTTGCACATGACTATTTACAATAATTACGTAATAGTAAATTAGCCGCTGCTGTTTCGCATAAAATAATAGAATTGGAGGTTAAACCATAATCGCGTTATTTCACTTTTTTATAATATTAACATTATATTTAATTCATATTCGCTACAATGTCTAATATCGTTCTTCCTCTTTGTGTTCCTTCTTCATACAAAGATCAGCAATACCATGTACTTTCAAAAATTATTTTTTCCTCTCTTTATTAAAATTTTCAATTAAATTTTTTTTACTAAATCTGAAAAAAATTATTTTTAAATTAGGGATCTACTGTAGAACTTAGCAAAGATCTAGCCAATAGTACAACCTTGTATGTTGGAAATTTATCATTTTATACAACAGAAGAACAGATCTATGAACTATTTTCAAAAGCAGGAGAAATCAAAAGGATAATTATGGGATTGGATAAATTTCAAAAAACACCTTGTGGTTTTTGTTTTGTTGAGTAAGTTAGGATTTTTTTATTTTTTAAGGGGAAAAAAAAAATTTACTTAATATTAATCATTGAAATTTTTTTTTTTGTGGTTGTTTTTGTTTTGTGAAGGTACTATTCACATAAAGATGCATTAGATTGTATGAAATATATTAATAGTACTAAATTAGATGAAAGAATCATTAGAACAGATTTAGATCCTGGGTATAAAGATGGAAGACAATTTGGAAGAGGCAGATCTGGCGGTCAGGTATAATATATTTACATATAATGCATTATAGGAATTATTTGTTTATTCATGTAAACAATGTAATATATTGTATAAATAATAAATATAGGTTAGAGATGAGTATAGACAAGATTATGATACAGGGCGTGGTGGATGGGGACATTTTCGTGCAAAGCAAGAAGCAGAACGTGCAAAAAGACAAAAAGAAGAATATGAAGCCATTACTTCTATTCCTACAGGTGCTGGTGAATACAAAGGCAAAGGTAATCAATTATAGAGTGAATATTGATATTTGAATTTGAAATTAAATATTATAATATTATTTGTTGATCAAATCCTTTTGCTGTTATTGTTGTTATGATGAATATTTAGGAACTACATCAAGGAAACGTGAAAGAGATAGTGATGATCAAGGGCATGAAAATCAACCTCGTGAAAAGAACCCACGCTTTAGAGAAGACAAATCAGATGATGAGGAGGATAGAATGCAAACTGATGTTTAATATTGTAATGATAATTATTTTTTTTTTTTTTTGGATGATCAATCTTATTGAAAACATTTTATTAATAGTTAATCCATTTTATCAAAATGAAATATTGCAGGTTTACCAATTACAATGAATCAATGAGATGTTCTTTTAAAAAAAGAAAATTATATAGATTATAAATAAAAAGAGCAATAATTTAATTTAATAATTAATAATTAATTTACCACTTTCAAATAAGCAAACTAATTAGCTACTACAAAAAATTCTTCTACGATACTTTAGATGAAATAAAAGAGCATGGGTTTAGATCATGGCTAGGGCGATACTATTCACACAAATAAATTTTTCTACAATCTCTGCAAAGAAACCAAGCTTCTACTAATGTTCGCTGATGTGACTTGCATTCCATAATTAATCTTTCAGATATACATACATACTTTCCCAAAAAAAATTATTTTCACTTTCTTGAGTATTAGCTTAAACAATATTACTTTCCAGCAACCAACCATCTAACATTTTCATTATTAGAAGAAACATTTGAGATTCCAAAAAAAAATTTTATTTCTCAAAAAAAAAAAAACCATGTATGTACAATATTAGTATATACATAATGAGCATTGGTGACTTTTTTAAACTCCGTCATTTAAAATTAACTACTGGTATATAAAACAATGATAATAGATTTTTGAAACAGTTCCTTTGAAAATGAAATAATAAAATAAATCTGGTGATGATTACAGGTGTCAGATTTAATAGAATTTTCCCATCACAAACATATGGTCAAGTGCTCTTAACACACTTCAGCATCATGGAATTTTTTCCACAGTTTGAAGCACTCCACATGTTAGAAGGCTTTTTGAGTTGATGAAACTCCCCTTATCTTCCTCTCAAACCAGGCTTGGCTATTATATTACAGTATTGATTGCTGATGAGATAAAATCAGTGACGGCAACTTAGGAAGTTGCAACCTGGATTGCTGTTTTGTTAGGGCACACTTACTAAATTTCTTAGATGAAATAAATGATATATAGTGTTTGTTTTCAATTACCTTAATTACCATTTGAACTTTCTTTTGCATCATGAAGTCAAGATCCTATTTTGTAGACTTGGCAAAAGCCTGTGTCTCCTGCCTAAAATTTAAAATCAAACCAAAAAAAAACAGACGCGTTTTTTCTAAAGCGCGTATTAATATGCACTTATTGTATCACAGCCACATGAAGATTATGTAAGATTGTGTTTTGATTCGGTAGTTTTGTCAATTTATTATTATTACAATAATATATACATAAATTATTACAATAATAAATAATTAATTAATTAATTGTTTTTATACTAGTTAGATAATTGTTGACGCATCATTGATTGAAATAATTAAAGGAATGTATAATGCAGGTTGTATATAGAAGTGTCATTTTGTAAAGGTATAATTGATGAAAGATTCACAGTAGAGATTCTACAAACGTTTATTATACCAATCGGGATGTAATGTGTAACATTGTATGATTACATCATATACTCCATTAATTACATATCATTCTAAAAATTTATCTGTGAATAATAATTACTTGCAACAAAATAATAATTCTTTAACACAAACTAGTGGCTGTAATTAATTTCACGTAATCTATTAAAAAATATGTGCTTGTAAATTTTGAATGTAAATGTATACTAATACTGTCTATACAAAAAAATTAGTGATACATTAATTCGGGGCTTTAGAATATCCCGAGCATCAATAAGGATAAACTCATTATTATATAACTTTAATTTGAACTAACAAATGTCGTCTACCTCCGATGTTTGAGCAGATCCTCCAAGGAGGTGCATAAAGAAGTGGATATTGTAGAGCAACCGAAAACCAGTCATTCTTTCATTTTCTTCTCTTTTATCATCCTGCATTTTTGTTTGTTTATAGAAGTATTCCGTTTAGTGAAATATTTAATCAATATAAAGAATTTGACAATTACTATGCTTTTGTCAAAAACTTGTTTACAGAGAATGGGTAATTATATACAGCAAAAGAGCTCCCAATTTTCTCGTATCAAGGCAAATGCTCAACGAAGAAAATTCTCATCCATCAAAAAAACCCAAGTTCCCAAAGAATAAAAAAGATCAATTCTTCTTTTTTGTATTTCTAATTCGCATAATAATTTCTTTTTAAATTACTATTGAGGGCGCGTTACAAAGGAAAGGGGCTAGCTAGAGTCGATCGTTTATGGCCCCACGTTTTATTTCCCACAAACCATTCGTTAATTACTCACACAGAATATTTTTAAATACAAAAAAATAAAATTTTTACAACTTCCACGCGCGATATTTGATGATGCTATTATATACTATATTTCTTTTTATTATTCTTTATTCTTTAAATTCATAAAGTATTGGCTAAATAAATTACATCACAAATTTAAAATTGTAAATAAAAAAATAGAGTAATTGTTCCTCCGAATATTAAATCCAAGATATTACTATGCTTATGTATCAGATTTAATAGAACAATCCCTTCATGCGACCCTCACCATTAATCCTCGTGGCAGGGACAAGACAATCTTTGGGTCAAGAAGTTAAAATAATATGGAAAGTTAATCACCATCCATCCACCAAGAGTGATTTTGATCTTGAGAATTTTCAATGTATTAAAAATAAAATTTTTGTAATGAATTAATTTCTTATCTTGCTGCTACATAAAGACTAATCTGCTTGCATATTATATCAATATTTCAAATGCATAATTTCCTTCGATGAAACAAAGGAACCAAAGAATGGCGGGAAGCTCGTTAAATGATAACAAACATCATAAATATTTAAATTGACCATTACTGCATTTATGGCTTTTTCTTCTTAATGCCAGAGATTTGGATGACATGCATTTGAAGCTTTAACAGGTTCTTCAAAAACAAAGGTGATTTTTCATTGCATCATATTTTAAATATTTTAAAGAAAAAAATCAAATGTCAGATTTTCATTATTTGTTAATTTTTTTAATTTCAAAATACAATATAAATAATTTTTTATTTAATTAGTAATATACTATATAAAATTAATAAAAATAATTAAAATAATTAATAATTAAAATATATAAACATTCTTTAAATATTGTTTTTTTTTAAAAAAAAATTTACAGATATACTCAAAAATAATCTTTAATTCTAAACCTTCTTTAACAATTAATAATAATTTGTTAATATTCAAAATTATTTAAAAATGTTTATGATGTTCTAATTTACCAATATCATGTTTTCCATCACAACATTGTCTTACATTTTCTAAATCTTCGTCATCACTATCAACATCATCATTATGATTATGATGGTTATGGTTATGATGATGTGATTCAATAGGCGAAGTTGGTGACGAATATGCTGCTGCTCCTGTTCCTGTACCGTCTCTTCTAAATATTGATTGAAGTTTACTAAAACTAGATTTTTTCTTTATTTCTCTAATATTATTGTCGCCATTCTGGTTCGAATTATTAATATTGAGATTTCTTGCATCTGATTGACCATCCCATGCTTCTATATTCGTCTTTGTGGTTTTATTACCACCAGGTGATGATGGTATTGATGATTGTTGTTGTTGTTGTTGCTGATGTTGTTGTTGTTGATTTGTTAATTGATTTTGTTGTCCAGGTGCAGCAGCACCATTTTGCATCGAATCTTCAGGCCTTTGTAATAAGTAATTTAACGCCTAAAAATTTATGTAAAATAATGGTCACACTTTTATTATACATGCTTATGCTAGCACAAAGAATCGTATTTAATAGTATGAAATTTTTACCTGGAACCAATATTCATGTCTTTCTTTTGATTGAGCTGTGAATTTTAATTCACGTTCTGGAGTTTTAATAATTAAACTCATATGATGTAAACCTGGAGGTGATGGGTTATGATCTACTACTTGTCTAACAGACTCAATATATGCTAATAATAAAATTAGAATTTGAAATAACATTATTAATATTTTAATATACTTGTTTACAATTTCAATTCCAAATAATAATAAAGATGATTACCAAAATAAGACATTCCACTTTTAATTTTGGGATCAATTGGTTCATTGTTTCCAGGATCCTTACTACTCCAATATAATGTTTTTGTATAAGGATGTACCCAGAAGAATCTTTTATGTCTTTTTTCTGATATACCAGCACCAAAATTACGTCTAGTGTACTTCCATAGATATTCACCGATCATAGTTTGAGTTATAGCATGAATGATTGTCGGATCTGTTCCTGGTGTGGGACCAACAATCGGACTAGTTCCATTTGTATCCATATAGGAGGCATCGGATCTACGTTTTTGGTCAGATGAAGTTGATGTAGTGCTAACTGTTGATATAGAGTCAGAACTTGGCGATCGTTGATGTAAAGTATTTGGATCATTTACATTATTGTTGTTATTAGAATTTGAATCGTTTTGCTTGGAATTGTCTGAATCTTGCAATGGATGATTTGGTAATTGAGGAGATCCCGCTTGTTGCCCAAAACTTACAGTTAATGGACGTTTTGGTTGATTATTGTTATTTTGTGATTTGTTTGCTGGGGAACTTAAATCCAATGTAAATCGATTTTTATCATTATTATTACCGATCATACTATTAATACTATTAGTACGACTATTGTTACTAGTATTATCATTTAATTGATTTGATTGACGAATACTCGACACGTCACTCTTTGAATTTTCATAAGCCATAGTATCACGTTCACCAAATGTGAATTTTCCTGTGTTGAAGGTACACATCGAGTCAGTTTTAGATGATGTTGATATGGTTGGAACAGGTTCGATTACTTTATCTGTTTGTACTGAAATATCCCTGAATACTTTCTTTGGTAACGGTGGCAATGCTTCTTCAGGAATGATGATTGAATGTTTTTTATTTAATAATGGCGAAATACTTGATTCACGTTTTGAGAATTTTTTAGATTCTCGTCTGGAATTGGTAGAAGCTCTTTTAGAACCAAACTCAATGTCATCGGGTTCGTTGGCGGAAGCAAACGAATCTACTGATGAAACGTCATCGTTATCATCATCAAGATATAATTTCGGATTCTTTTTAATAAAATTAACATTTAGTTCCTCTTCTTCACTTTCTTGTTGCTCCTTCTTCTGTTCTTCATTCTCATCTTTAGTTAGATTATTAGTTTCATTCTCTTTTTCATCTGTAGATGATGTTGTTGGTGTTGATTTTATTGGTGATGTTGGTGTGCTGACGCCTTCTTTATCAACAGAATCAATTATTTGTTTTGAAATATCATCATATTCACTTATACGTTTGCGAACAATTGAATCTCTACTGTTTGAGTCACGAATTGATTGAGATTCGTTTGAAAGTATTTCAACAATTGAATCGGGTTCTTCTGATAATATTTGACGAGAAATTCTGGAAAATCTGGATGATCGGGATGATCGGGATGATTGAGAAGTTGTAAATTGTTCATCAGATTTTGTCAAATTATTTAATGCTTCAGCTCTAGCAGCAGCAACCTCGCCATCTTTAGTATCATATTCTTCATCTGACTCCCCAGGAACTATGTCCTCATCAATTCTACTTGACATTATGGAACTTCTTACTGAACCTCTGCTCTTAACACCAGATTTCCAACCATGAGGTCTAAACATATCAGACGAAGGACGGTTATTTTTATTGATATCATCATAGCCCATTTCACCATTAGCACCATTGGGAAAAATCATTGATTGGTCATCATCAGCACCGTAAACACCATTGACTACACCATTGTCACCAAAACCTTCTTCCATCAAAGTTTCATGGTTACGAACAGATCTATTACTCGCAGATGATGAACGCTTGAAACGACTGCTTGAACGACGATTTTTGAACATGCCGGAATTGATGGAGGTAGGATCATGAAATTCAGTTTCATATCTCATCATTTCAATTAATTCTTGACTTTCGGCCAATAATTTTTTAAGTTCATATTTTTCACTTTTTTCTTTTTGCAAGTTTGCTCTGAGATTACCGACCATACGGTTAGAGATATTAAGAGCTTTCAAAGTCTCGAGTTCGATATTTAAATTTTTACCCATTAATGATTTATGAATGCTATTTCTACCGTCCTCAAGTTCAGAAGAATTGTCATTTGAGAAATTTTGTGAATTTTCATCATCATCACCATCATCACCATCATCATTTGAGATGCTATTATTATTCAAGTTAGACTTTTGATCTGGATTACGTTTATTACGTAGGCTTCTTGCAACCATCAAATTATCTAATTTACTTTTTAATTCCTCGATGGTTTTACTCATATCATTTTTTTCACGATTGACAGCGCTGATATGTCTACGGTTATTGGCCATATCTTGATCATGGCGATTTTTCAAAGTTTCAAAATTGTTCGTTAATACTTCTTCTTTATCTTTGAGTTGTTCTATTACATCAGTAGCAATAGCTAACGCTCTTTCCAATTTTTGATAGTCGCTATGTGATTTTGTGAATTGACTTTGAAGTTCAATTACTTGAGAATTTAAATCTTGTCTTGACAATTCAAGGTTCCAATTTTCTTCTTTATATTGTTCTATATTTTTATATATTTATGTTAGCATTTTTTATAAACATTATTAACAAACTCCCCCTTCATGTGAACAAATAATTTCACCAAATATGTTTGTTTATTTACCTTCATTTTCTTCTTTGGCACGAAGTTGTTTATTAAGTAATTCAATATTTCTTTCTAATTCACTTTTATCAGTTTCAAGTTCCTTTATCCTCTCCTCTTTTTCTTGTAACAATGCTTGTAAACGTCTGACCTCCACCAATAAACCTTGACCTATCTCAGTGGCAAATTCGATATCTTTTGTTCTGCCTTTTTGTCTTGACATATCGCGTCTACGCGAGGATGCTGTTACGGCAGGTGTATCATTTTGAGATGATCCTGACGAATCAATCCCGCCATTAACATCGCCATTACCCTAAATACACACACATATATATATATATATGCGTGTTAATATATATATACAGATATATATATTTATGGAATCATCCCTTGATCAACTTACCGAGTTTAATAAACCTTTAGCGCCCAAGAAAACTTTTGCAGTATTTGCATCTAAATTCTTTGCTTCACGCTCAAGTTCATCCAATTTATTTTTCAACTCTAAAGGTACCTCGTCACCTTCAGTCTGATTCAACTCATTAATTCGTTGTTCCAATTCAGCCTGTTGTTTTACAAGTGCAGCACCTAACTCGGCCGTCATTTGTATTTGATCGGCTTGTTCGTTAAATTGTTCCAACAATTGTTTTTTTAATTGCGTTACTGACACGCTGTTATTTAAAGATCTCCGTTTTGGCGATGAGGTTGCAGCAGCAGCCGTGGATGAAACATAAATGTCTTGAGTTGAACCATCATGTGAAAGTGTTATATGTGGTGTTGTTGGTGATGATGAATTATTATCGGCTATTTCTGTCATCTTTTTCTTTTCTCGCTTTTTATTTAATCAAAAAGAGAAAATGGAGAGAAATATTTATTTATTTATTTATTTATTTATTTATTTATTTATATACTATTATTAAAAAAATTCTAAAATTAAAAAATTAAAAAAAAAAAACTTTAATGTGCAATATTTATAATTTGAACATTATTTTCTATAAAAATAAATCTTTTTCTTAGATAACAAATAAGTTATAGCTAAAAAAAGAGTGAACTAATAATAATATAAAACTTTATAGTATAATGTTTTTATTATTATAGTAATAATAAACAGTATATGTGACCAAATGGAAAAAAGAAAGGATGAAGATGGAAGGAGATGAAAGAAAGGGAAATAAAAGGAAGGAATATAAAGGGGGGAAGTAATGTTTAAACGTAAATAAATAAATGTAAATGCGAAGCTTTAGAGATAAAATATCTAGAAAAAAAATTTTAAAAGAATGTAAAATGAGAATAATTGACGGGAGAGCAGTGACTGTTTTTTGTGAAAAATAAACATGAAGTATACAATAATATATATTATGCACGCGTGTATGCAGTTGTGTTACTTCTTTTTTTTCCAAATAAAAAATTTTAATTAATTTTTGTTATTATTATTTGTTTATTTATTTCACGTGATTAATGTTGTTTAAATAAAATTCAATATATAAATGGATGATTATAAATATAATAAATATGTATAATATAAATAAATATTTACAAATAAGAATATTTAACAAGAATATTTAATTATATATCTCTATTTATTACTATTATTGGAGATCGCCAACGATCATATTGATTTGGATTATTTACATCGCCAAAAGGTCTCAATTCCTCAAGAATTAACTGATACCGACCATTTGGTAGCTTACGTCTAACGTTATTTTGATTATTTACAGCAACCGTCCCATCCCATTTTAACTCAGTGAATCGGTTCGTATATTCATTATTCTCATTATTTGAAGTGCGAGATGTATAGGTATCGATAAACACAGTTTCCAAAATATTTTCGTTCGCCACAGCGGCATACAAGACCCAACGTGACGTACCAAGATTGGATCTGAAATAGACCTTCGGTATATGATCATAATCATCTTGGAATGTATAGGTTGCTTCATCAGTCTCGTTGTACAATTCATCAAAATCAGGTGATAACAAGAATGGTGACGTAGGATTACTTGAAATTAGATTCATTGTAGTCAAATTTCCCTTTAATCCCTGATAGGGTACGCTGTAAGTTTCATGATTACATTCATCATTGACGATTATGAATCCTGAATATAATCCAAATTCGCTTGGCAATAATTGTGAAGGCTCTTTGATTCTTATTTGGATTGATTTTGTTTCTCTTGGACGTAATTTGATTGTATTTTTATGAAATGTCACTTTAGCATAAAATTTATTGATCAACATATCTCCAGTATTAACAATAGTATCATTGAAGAAACCTCTAACGGATCCGGCTGGTAAATGATCCAATGTGATTTTCATTGTTTTATGACTGAAATTTGTCAAGCTAATTGTTGCTGTACCAGTGAATCTGACTGTATCATTCAGCGATAATTTTCCTGGTGTTATATAAAGTTTGGTATTTAACGCTCTCTCAAGATTAATTAATCCGCCTCCTTGCTTGGTGACTGGCAGAACGATTTTATTTTTATGGTTTCCATCATTTGAAGATTTATATGGTTCCGCAGTATAAATCAGAATATTTTTTAAAATGAGTGGATCAATATTGATTTTGTTGTGTGGATTTTTTCTAAAATTTTCCAAGTATAAAGCGACAAGACCTGAGGTATAAGCGGCAGCGGCAGATGTACCAGAGAAAGTTCCATAGGAACCAAATTCCACAGGTAACGTGCTGAATATTTTACCACCGGGAGCCATTATTTCCGGCTTAATATCTAATTCAAAAGTGGGACCCCAAGAACTTGTATCAACAGGATTATTACCTTCTATGTCATTGAAAACAGCCGTTTTATTGGGGAATGTTACTCTCAATCGTCGATTGTGATTGTAGTAATATTGGTTGCGTCTGATTTTTTTGCTATGTTGGAATTGTTTTATTAGATATTCACCGTCATTTTTGGAGATTATTGCAATTGGTACACTAGATGAACTAATGGCTGGTTTAAAAGGGCCTGTTACATTGAAGTAGAAGATGGCACCTAGTGCACCAGCCGTTTGAGCATTTGTAATTTTATCGTCAAAGAAACATCCACCTCGTCTTATCAATGCCAATTTTCCAGTAAGATTTTTAGCAATTGGATTACAAGCATCATCTACTGGATCTTTAGCATCACTGGTTGGGACAATCTCTAATGGACCATCAAGGTCGAATTTCAATCCCACACGTCTTGTAAAATAAGCAATCTTTTTCTTTGGTTGAGTACTTGGCACCAAGTAATTTGTAATGAATTTGAAATTATTTACAGAACCAACGGTTATAACATCTTTTCCAGAGTCGGGAGATCCACTACTAAAAAGTCCACTAAAACCATCATTAGGAGCAGCAGTAATTACATAAAATCCTTTTTTTACCAAGTTAGAGGCGGCTACAGCACTTGGATTTTCAGGCCAACCATCAAATGAAACTCCAAGTGACATATTTATTATGTCCATTCCATCATTCTCAGCCAATTCCATTGCTTTAATGATCAGATCATCTCCTGTGTCTCCAAAACAATCTGTTACTCTATAAACACCAAGGATTGCTAATAATTATTTTATTTTTGGAAGGAGGAAAAATATTAATTAACCAATTGAAATAATTTACAGGATTTAATAATCGAAAGATTTTATTTTTACCTTTAGGAGCAACACCTGTAAAATGTGTTGTCGAATCGTTTGCGCCAATAATTCCACTTATGTAAGTTCCATGACCATCACAAGGTTCAAATGGGTCATCATCAGCAACAGGATCTTCACTATTACCACTTCCTATGAGATCTTTACCAAATTGAATCCTACATCCAGCTGTTTTAAAACAACCACCAAATGCTGGGTGTTTATAATCAATGCCTCCATCAATAATTCCAACCTTTTGTGAAAGAATATTTTTAGAAGAAAATTAAAATATGAAACATTAAAAATATTAAAGGAAAAAGAATTTTTATTTAAATACCTTTATGCCATTTCCAGTTAATCCTAATCTGTTTTTAGCATATGATGCACCAGTTACATCATCAGAAAAGAAAGATCTTATATTATATTTGTTCTAACAAATTAAAAAATTTTATAGAAATTAATCACTTTATTAATTAACAAGATTTTCAGAAAAATTTAACTTACAACTCGCCAAACAGCATTGACATTAGGTAAATCAGAGATTGTATTGATATCACTAGCATTATTCAATTTGATCGACACAGCTTGTAATATATTTAACTTTTGACGAATTGTGTATTGTATTCCTTTTTCGTCGATTTGACTTAAAAGAATCGCCAAAGATTCATTTCCTGTACCAGTATGTTGTACAATAAAAACATTATTCATAACCTTAGATCCACTCGTCGGTGAATTCACAATTACACTTGATGTTTGACATATCGCAAAGCTAAAGATTAATAATGCCAAGATTATTATCATTGATGATAACAATTTTGATAAATTCTTCATATTTTTATTTCTAAAATGTTTCTTTAACAAATCTATCTATAAATATAATTTCTAATAATACAATTTTCTAATAAACAATAAAATTCTAAATAAAAATCTATCAATTGGAAAGGTAAAAAAAAGAGAAATAAAAAAATATTTTCAGTTTTTACAAAAAAAAAAAAAATAATAATATCTATATATATATATATACAAGTCTCATTGAAAAAAAGAAAATTCCACGCCAATTTACAACTTTGGAAGAAATCTCGAAAGTTAATATAATAATCTAATATGGGAAATCTTTTGACGCCTTTTAAAAAAGAAATGGATATTGTGTGACGATTATGAACAATGCCCAGAAAAAAAACTTGCTATGATGAAATCATATCGTATCATTTTTTTTTTATACTTGCTATTGTATGTAAATTTTTGACATTATTTGTTTATTGTATCACATAATGACATACCTACTTTGAATTAATCCAATAATTGATTTAAAAATGCATAACGACGAAATGAGGTTTTATTATTCTATCATCATTCATTATACAATGGACCAATATAATTACATGGTTAGTGAAGGGAAAGTTATTATCATCACCCCGCCTTCGACTAAATTTAGAAAACAATAATGACACATTTTGAAAATAAAAAACGATACTAATTTACTTAATATAGTTTGATTGATTGTGTTACCGTACATTCCGAGTAAACTATAGAAACTATTTTTTTTTAACAATTTGGGAAATTTTATTGGAAAACCCTTTTTAATTATGCAGGGCAACTAAACATAAAAAAAGCACTAATAAAATGAAGGTAACATCATTTTATCCCTGTTTGAATTTTTGAAACCTAATACTAATTTTAGTAAGTGTTAATATTTAAAATGGTCGTTTCCAAAATTTTAATTTTATTAATTAAAATTCATTTTAAATATATTATTAATTAAAATTCATTTTAAATATATTATTAAAATTCATTTTTAAATATTTTATTATTATTATTTCAATTAAAATTCATTTTAAATATATCATTATTATTTCAATTAAAATTCATTTTAAATATATTATTATTATTTCAATTAAAATTCATTATTATTATTTCAATTAAAATTCATTTTAAATATATTATTATTATTTCAACTAAAATTCATTTTAAATATATTATTATTATTTCAATTAAAATTCATTTTATTTCATTTAAATAATAATTAAATATTACTTGAACGGTTAAAATTCATTTTTTTTTATTTAATTTTAAATAATCAAATCAATTGACCATCTTTTTTATATTGTTTATTGTTTTTATAATTGAAAAATTGTTGTGCTTCAATAACACACACACATACACCCTAAATTATTTTACATCTTCTCGAGACATTTACAGCAAAATTGAAAA